CCCTAGGTAGCACACTGTGCTACTTTGCTCAAAAAAGTATTTCGAACACTGCGTTAATCAACAGTCCATACCGAACCAACCGTCAGTAGCCATCAAACCGGCATATACAAACATATTACGCACATAACTTTCATACTACACACAAACAAATAACCTAAACCAATAGAAAAAAAACCCGGAGGTTTGAAATCTACGATTTCCCTTGTTTTTTTTAGTTTCATGTCCTGCATTTAACCATTCGAAATAAAATGAAAATACCTTGCAGTCGACTATAGGTCCGTAATTTTAATTCTAGATATTTAAAAGCTACACAATTTTGAAGTCTTTTCCTTGTAACACAATATAATAATAATGTTAAGATGCCTAAACTGCGCAATTGTATACATGTTTGAATAAGTTTTATGTATAATAATAATATTAAGATGCCTAAAATGCGCACTTCAGCATCTGTGTAGAATAGCAGATGACGCTGTCATTTAATTTTGTGTGAAAATGATGCCAACAAAACACCCATATATAATATCCCATTTAAAGAAATGCTAACGTTTAGAATTAAATAGGTAGTTTTAGACAGTCCCCGTTCATACCAATCATAGCACACAGTGGGTATCTACCTACGTACTGTTACTGTGCGTACAAGTAATTAATCCCTGGGAAAGGTGGGTTATTTTTAACTGGAATGTGTCACATGCTCTCACCCACGTGCATGTATACATAGCTTGAGTATATAGGTTACATTTAATACGACTGGCTTACCGTGAGAGATTACATGGTGTATTCATGTGAGTCTGGTCTTACAAGGCCACGCCAATACATACAGGTTTCAAGGAGTTTGTATTTTATAGGAAAGCCGCTATTAATATAACAAAAACACAAACATTACGAGTCCTTTATATTAGTTATGGATATGCCTGTTCTTATTGGTGGCTGATAACCAAGCTATAAAAATGGTTTTAAGAGAATATTCTAATTAAAGAACTTTCCAGTTTCTTGATGGACAATAAAAAAGGACATGGGAACAATACTTCAGTTTGCATTGCAATAAATTACGGCTAAGATGTGCGCAAATGCTTGTGATTCTGTGAATCTTTGTTGGTGTGAATGTACTGGTGCTACGCCTGTAGCGCCATCGTGCGGGTAAGCAAGGCATGGCAGGTCACTACATATCGCGATTTAAAGGAAATATCATATTTCTGGGCCCGGCATGCATGATTTATCATATGAATCAAAAGTGATTACCTAAAACAAAATCATAACTTTTAGAAAGGTTCCTCCATCGACCAACCGGCATGTTACTGCAGCGTATAATCCCTGCAATTCACAAACTTACCGAATGGAGCGCTACTGCACCGTTAGCCCATCTAACAGTGAGCAGACGCATTCATTATACGGTAATAAAGGCGATAACGGATACGTCAATTCTTTCAACTATCATTGCGTCACTTTTGGGTGTAAAATGTTGCCTTACGTTAAGTTACAAGGTGACATAAGAAAAACAGAAAGGCGACTTGATAAGGCCACAGCAAGTAATTTTTATGGATGACATCATCAAGAACATTAAATTTTCGCCTTGAAAAAAAATTGTTGCCCTCTTACAGTGGTCAACATGCCGAAAACGGGCTGTTGCCATGCCATAATGTGGATGGCAGATAAATATGACGAGAGATAGAGGAGACAAGACAAGGCCCTGATTTATTGTTTTGTCTTTCACTTTGATGTTTATTCCTTTTAAATGTGATGTTCCCACTGAATCAGAACCATTTGTACAATGATTGAAAACGTATTTTTCAAAGTTGTTTCAGAGAGAAATGAATGTTGTAATAGTTGGCAGTAAACGTACAACAATAAAGGTATCATTTCTTGTTTAACAAGGTTTCTGATGAAAATTTAAAATGTAGGAATCTTGTCTTTTTGCCCACTTTGTTTTTTTCGCCCTATCGCATTAAATTTGGCGTCTGCGGAGAATGTCATCCATAAAATTTACTTGCTGTGGCTTAGGAAAAG